GCCAATATATTTAATAAAACAGGAAAACACCCATTATTCATATACTGATGTGACCTTTCCATACTTGGTATTTTGCTCAGAATCTCATTTATATGACCATGGAGAGTTTYCCTGACATGCACACAATACCATGCAGCTTGAGCTCTGCCAGAAAAAAAAATCATCATGAAACTGCATGAGGTTGGTAAAGTCATAGTTATTTAATCAAACAGGTAATTAAATTACTTAAATTATTMATTTAACATACCTGGCAACAAAAGAAAGCAAACACTAATCCTATTTCACCCGTGCTGGGGACCAAATGAAACAAATTACCATTTTAAGAGACTGGGCGTTAGAATTCAGGTTAAGAATGTGATTCTAGTCAAAAAAAGATCAACACTGTCAGATGGCAGGAGGCAGCATAGGAGCCAAATATTTACTTTGGTAACAAATACACACTTCAGAGCCTGTTAGAAGTGGCAATCACAACCTACAACCTCACAACCAATCCAGCATGTTTGTTAATACCTACAGAGGGGCTTCCCAATCTGTACCCTCACACATGGTACAGGTGATAGTGCCAGTCATCTGGAGTTCTGCTCCCAATTCATCAGGTTCACTTCAAAGCCTCAAGGGGAATTAGCAATTGGGATGTCATTCATGACCTCGCTGAGAACCATTTTTTTCTCCAGGAGAGCTTGTCATACCAAGCAACCCACACAGAATACAATTAAACAATGTCACTGCTAGATAGATTAAAATTGCAGTTCAATAGTGGAATTTGCTGTTACTGAGCAATTTCATAAATTAAATATGTTCTGGCAGAGCTCTTGTGGAAAGTATTAGCAGTGATCCAAAAACCAGGACCTTGCAAATTGCATGGGTAAAATCCTAGCTGCATTAGAGCCAATAGCAAAACTCCCAGGCACATACACAGAGCCAGAATTTTAATTTCTCATACCAGCTGCAACACATTGCTATGCCTTTGGGCAAACTACACTAATTCAGCCTCCCTAGTTAAAAAAATGCAGACCACTAACCAGTGCTTTTGGAGAGACAGACTGTGGAGGATTCACAGAAGTGGGCCATACAGTAAAGGGCAAGCATTATCAATCAATGCAATTTAGCAAACAGGCTACTTCAGCAACTCACCATCACAGAAATACTCCACTGATACAAATACCAGGCTTTGCAGTCMCAGCTGGATTCATTTCTTGTCCTGTGGAGGCCTGGTAAAAGTATCTTCTTCATGAGTTCCATGCACAGAAGCCCAGCCCAAACTCTGTTGCTGCTGACAATACAATCTTCACTGGTTTGGTATTTTGAAAATGGTGTTTGGTGTTCTGCATCAAACATCAGTTATGTTCTTTCCCAGCCAATGTGTGTAAGTGAACAGTTGCCTTCACGAGTTAGAGATAAACAAACACACTGCTACACAAATGCACATATTAACTCTGGATAACACACACATTTGTTTAAAATTAATTCTCAGGTGTTCTTGCAAACAAATTTTATGGCTGTATGAAAAGCAGCTATAAAATGAGATTTGGCTCCTTGGTAGGTGGCATGTTACATTTTTTTAAGAAATATTATTCTTCCCATATAAATGCACAACAGATGTAACATTTGACCTAAGCAATAAGATTTATTACTGTTTTTAAAGCAAATTCAGCACAGCTTAAGAGAACACTGTACAGAACTCTTTAAGCTAGGAAGAGGTTCTTCTTGTCATCGATGCATGCTTTGCATTTGTCAATTCTTGCCCTCAAAGCCAACCTCCAGTTTAGTATTTCAGGCTTTTTACAAAGGTGATGATCCTGCAATTCAATCTGCTAATGTAGCACATAGCAGGCTCCCTCCAGTCACAGCAGCCATGGGCTCATCTCTTTGCTTTTAATATCAAAAGAAATGTGCATGGCCTCTCTGGCCTCTTTTTGGGCCCCAAAACATTTCATGTGATTTATGTTAGGCATTATTCCAACAGCACATGCAATCAAAAGCAAGTGTCACACATTGTTTGGCAACAAAAAATAAATATTACAGTTGTGATYAAAAAATGTGTCTTGCTCATATAATCTTACATTAATTTCTTTACCTCATGCACTTCTGTGTAAATTGTTATTGTTTTGCATTTTCTTCAGAGGCCATAGTTCTTCTGTTTTCTAAAAATAACCTGCTTATGCACTGTCTTCTCTTTTCAAATCACCCTTCTTCCTTTTGTTAGGTTCATTTCCAAGATCTCTGTGCATGAMAGTGGTGAAAGATGGATATACACAACCTCACTAACAAACATGCTGAAAGCCCCAAAAATGACGAACAATTATTGGATAAACACCTTCAATGGTAAACAGTTCTGTGAGAAATGAATGGGCCTCTAGGTCATATGGTAATTTTGCATTTTGTATAAGGGTTTTGAAACATGAAAATTAAAACATACCTGAGAATAATATCAAAATCTCACTTTAAGAACTTTTTTTGTTGCTCAGCAGCTTTAACTATCAAGTAATTTCACAGTTTTTGTATTTCACTTCATATAACATAATCCCAGATGGTCCAGCAGGCAGTCCCAGCCGACATCTTCTCAGGGTGAATCCTGCAGCTGGCACTGGTGTATTCATGTGGGAGAAATCCATGTATCTGAAAGTTCCCCTCCCACCCCACCATGAACAGAGCCAAGCACTTAAAATTGTGAACYTCTATACAGCCTAGAAAGAGAATTCTAGCATTAATATACCACTTCCACCTCATTTTTCTGATATGAACATCTAATCAAAATAATTTTCTGACCTCAAGTTCAAAGCATCATGCCACATCTGGGACTGCCCAAACACACTCTCTTCCCAAAGGAAGGCATGGGACAAAGTTCTTGGATGCTTCTCTAGAAGATCTAGGCAACAYTGGGAATGCTGCAGATCTCAGATCATATAAAATGCACCACCTCAGTTTAGATGGATCCTTTCCCAATTCATCAGAACTACAYATGCCTGCAGATTCTCTCTGAACTGGTGCTCCCCAAAACTCTTCTAGTCCAAGAGTAAACCATCTGCTAGCTCCCTAGAAAAAGAGCAGTCTCAGTAGCTGTTTAGGAGAAGCTGATAAACTTCAACAAAGAATGTAATCCCACAGAGTGTCTCATGTTGGTGATTGCGTATCAGCCAGGACAAGCAGTTCCCAGACTTTTTWAAGGGATGCATCTGATTTCTGTCAGAGAAAAATCACATTAAGTCTTCACATCTCATTAATGCCTGTCAAAGTCAAGGTACTGAAATCCATACAGATGATTCATACTGTATTTGAAGAGCATCTCAGTGTATTTGCAGTGAGYACAAGAATTAGATCCACAGGCCAGGAAAGTTTCTGCCTTCATGAGTTCTTTTAGTGCCCAAGAACTGCTTTAATTTTCTTTCACATCACACTGGTTTTCTCTGACTGGTTTTACAACAGTAGTAGTAGTGGAAGAAGCGTCCAAAGCAAGCAGCTCAGCCTGTTCATGGATCCCCTTTATGACACAGTTTAATGCTGAGACTTTCTGGTACCTGGAACACTGTCTGGCTTCCTTAAACACAATGGGAACATGCATCTCTATTGAATCCCATCCASCTGGGGTAAAATCTGATATCCCAGAAAAAAAGAATGCTATTTTCACTCCTAAGATCAACAAGTTCATAGCCATGCCTGGTGYACACTTTTCTGCAGTGAGGGAAATGGATTCTCTATCCACCTGAGAAGTCCACGTTCTTGGACTCAACGAACAACCTCAGAGACAGAGATCCTTGATGAACTGACCACCAAATATTAACAAAATACATATTAAACCTCAGAATGAGGACTGAGTATTCCATTATGTAGTACATTTTTGCCYATCCTTTGAGCAAATTTCAGTATAMGGTGTGGGGATTTCAAARTGCCCATATTAAGGAGTAAATCACAGATGGGCTCATCAAATCACAGGCACAAGGATTTAAAGTTCTGTATCATCTGTGTATGTCAAATGAGAGACTGTTCTAGAGAGAGAGAAATGCAATTGATAAATTGCATTGCTTCAAAAAAAAAGGGATTTTATAGAAATTGTTTAAGGTTTACCTTTTCAGGTATTTTGAAAACTCCCTGAAATATCCAATTACATTGTGGCTGACAGAAGAAGAAGAAAAGGAGGGAAGAAAAAGACAGATAAGTACTCTGGAAACAGGATAGGTAATCATTCATGTTGTTTACAACTCTTCTGGCTCATTAAAGTCTCAAGACAGACTCTTGCTTTGTTATTAGAAAAAAAATCCTCTACTGTCCTAACATCTTTCCTCTACAATGTATGATGGAATCTAGAGTCACAAACKGCCAGGACTTCACAGGCAAAAGGCATGCCCTAAAGCAGAGCATTTCATGGCTCCCTGACACCCCACAGGCAGCCTTTTCCCCTAAAGCAAAGAATCTCACAATATCATTTTGTATAACATTCTTTACATATTCTGATTCACACTCCCAAAGCACATTTATTTCAGTCAAATTGTGCACATGTGGATTGTTGAGGGTTTTTAAGTTTTTCCTCAGCTTGATATTCTGCACTCTTCCTGAAGCTGGCCATTGTGATTAAAGACTCTGCTTTGTAATGAAAGCAAACCAAGTACTTCAGTGCTGAAAGAGAGCAAAAAGAAGCAGCCAAAACATGTGGTGATTGTTATTTTCTTTTCACAAGTGACAAAACAGCATATGCAGTTCAATACCCAGGATCAGTTAATTTTATCTGGAAAAGCAGCTTATGTAAGTTCACATTTGCTATGATTATAACCCCCATAACACTAATTTCCTATGTAAAGCCACTGTGGTGCCCACACAGATTATATTTTGGGAATGTGGGCACATGGCAACATAGTTCACTGGTTATCAGCCTTTGTTTTATTTTGCAATACATTCACGATTCTCTGTCCTTCCAAYGGCAAATACATCATGCTTGATTGGCAGTGCTGGGTATGAGACATTCCATGATTACCATGATTTTAAAGTGAGACAGCAAATGCACATTTGTGTTACTCTCCCTTTAATGTAGTACAAAGCTGGACACAACTCAGAAAGAAACACCTAAAATCCATTACCTATTTATGATCATGTACAAACGGGTATTTATCATGTTATAAGAGAACCATATGTTAAAGGGGAGGCCAGAGCCCAATAAATCTTTTTGGATGAAAACCCTTTTCAAAAAAAAGGAATAAAATAATTAACATTTGCTTTTGCCACTAGAAACATTCGCTCATGAATCTTCTGGGAAGAGAAAGGCATTTAACCTTTTTACATGCCATTCCCCCAGACATCTCTGACCCCTCTGCAAAACAGACAACAGAGACTCCCAACTCCATGCTGCTGATTAAACTCTTGTACAAAACATCTGGATGAAATTTTCTTGGCTGTTGATTTGAAAAGTATACAAGAAGCAGAACTAGAGAGCAGCCATAGTTCAGCTGAGTGACACCAAGATGATGCTATGCAAAAGCAGATTTTACCTTGAACACATCAACTCCTAAATATTGGCCTGTGACTGTGCAAGCAACCTCATTAGCAGAAGAAAAATAAATCTATCTTCTACTCTGCATGCCAGTGTAGAGAMGGCAAATGGGCTTTGAAAGAAACCCAGCTTGACAATCTTGTTTCTTTTAATAAAATAATAAAGGGCTTTAACAGTTTACCTGCCTAATACTTAACTTCAATTGACAGGTAAGAGCAAAAGCAGCCATGCCCTTAACTTCCAACAACCATTTCTTGGATTTGTGAAGGACTTCAGAACTTCTGTGGTTTCTGATMAACTCCCCAGCAAACTGGAGCTAATGCTTTCCTATTTACTGTCTTAGTGAATATACCCCCAGGCTTAAATTAGCAAAAGTGACCTGCAATTTTCATAACCTGACATTCAAATAAAAGATATCCTGGCACTCTGCTGCTTGAGCTAAAGAGCTGCTAAATGCAGCTCAGCAGATTGTTCCCTTTTGGAAATACAGACCCTGGAATTCTCAAAGTTTTCCGAATGTACAACAGGCCTAAAAGTGAAACATTTTCACYGTTGCTATTAACTAAGTAGCATCAGTGAAAAACCTGCAGGAACCAGGCCAACGTTACTCTTGAAGCTGCTGGGGAGAGAAGGGCAAAAGAAATAAAAGGAAGCAGCAGCAGAGAACAGCCTTGGAGTCTGACAAAGGTGCAGTAAACAGGAAAGCACAGGGAACTGTCTGCCTCCCARCTGCCAGGCTAGGAAAATTCCAGAAGGAACAGGCAGAGACCCTCTGGCCTTTTCCAGAAGCCAAGGCACAGAGTGCTTCAGATTTATYAGACTCAACTAGAATGACAAAATCAAAGCTTCAGCACTGCACAGGGCCAGCAACCAAATTTCCACTAGTTGTGGAAAATTTGATGGGGTATGGGAAAGGCTTTGACTTTTTATTTGGGACACTGCTGTAAAGAAATAGATTATCAGTATGTGTTTAAGATTGCTTGGTAAATATTTTTAAATCATAAAGAAATTAATACATAGAGACAAATCGGGTCTAAATGTTTTATCTCCAATCCAAACTTCACATTCTAAAGCACCCCTACTGCTTTTTGCTACAGCACTGTGATCTCAATAGACCTAAAGGAGGGGCACCTATTCAAATTAGTACTGCTACCACTTCCTCTCTAAATGAACTTATCCACAAACACCTCATTCTACAGAAYCCTTTAGGCTGGAAAAGACCTCTARGATCATCAARTACAACTGTTAACCTCGTGTTCACTGCTAAACCCTGTCCCTAAGTGCCACATCCATGTGTTATTAAAACACTTCCAGGGATGTTGATTCCACCACTTCCCTGGGCAACCTGTTCCAATGTGTGACCACCCCTCCAGTGAGGAAATTTTTCCTAGTATCTAGTCTAAACCTCCACTGGCAAAAACAGTCCTCAAAAGTTAGGAAAAAATCTGTCGGATAAAGAAATTTCAGCATGGGACAAGAATGCAGACCAGAAATACAATCACAGAGTGTAGCTGTAAGAAGTAAGTTTGAAGCTGTTCTTCTTCTATCAAAATAAATAAAATATTGCAAATTTTTTGTACCACATTATTCAGTAATACAACTGGAATGGTAATGAATGAATAAAACCAGAAGAGATTATCCCACATATAATCCAAAATTCATCAATAATAGTAGAAAAACGTTGCCATGTAGAACATCTACATGAGAGGGCCACACCACTTGTCCAGACAGGAGCTAATACTGATGTAGATTTAGGGCAGCCACCTGCCAGGCAAGCTATTGTAACTCAAGCGAGTTGAATTAATGGCCAAGAGAAATAATTTAAGACTACTGCATCAAGGGAAAATCTGCCATTTTGTTAAGAGCTTTTGACATAACCAGTGTATGCTTTTCAACTCCACCARACACCTTCCTATACACATTTGGTCTGCACCAAATAGGGAAGGTGTGATAATATTCTGAATCCAGCAATTTGTATGMAACCAACAAACAATTAAACTGAGCAGTAAAAAGCAGGTGATTGGAAAACATGGAACCAAGGCTTACAGTGTATCAAGAAATGTCCTTACACTTAAAAAATTATAATGCACTCCAAAATCCATTTGTTCAGGCAATCCATGTACAACAGAAGGCACTGTTATCCATATGAATCTATCAATTCTGCACAGCAAAAACCTGAGAAGTGCAACTCAATTRGATGCAGCCTGGCCCCTCCCGGTCATTCAGGTTCCTTGAGGACAAACGTTTCCTTTCAGTCCATCAAATTATAAAAACACCACAAGAATTTGTACATTACAGTAGCTGGTTAGAAAGAGCATTCTGGTGGGGGAAGCACACTGCTATTTTCCAGAACACCTTCAGCAGCATTAAATTAACCTCCCCTATCACTCAGAAGTCATGATGATTTCAAGAAAATGRTGAGACCCTTCTCATTGACCTTTGTAGCCGATCCTTCAGTTGCCACCGGGAGTACTTCCAGCAAAGTTAAATGCTGTGATCAGTCCTTTGTTATCAAATGTGTAGCCACTTTGTTGTTCTATTGTCTTAGTCTCTAGAATTCAAAGAAAAAGCATATGAAAAACAGTCTATAGAGAACACCTTTGTCAAAAGAATAGAGCTCAGCTAAGATTGCAAAGTTATTGAAAAAACGCCTAGCTGAATAAAAATTTCATTCCCTAAACACAGTGACAGGAATAAATTACACCCAGATCTTTTTCTAAAGGCATAAATGTGCACACCTCTACAACAGAGTTGAGAAATTAATCCTTTACAGAATCAGTCTATGTTACACTGTTCTGCATTCTTTTTGATTAAATCTGAATTCATTTTCCATGATGCAACCTTTCTATAATTCTAAAACCTCACACTGACTGCATAGGCAATGTGAGTGGTTAAAAATTTACAAAACTGTTAAACCACAGTAATAGATAGTAATCTTCATCAAATGCCTGGCTGACAAGTACATATTGTCTCAATTTATTCTTCATTTCAAATGTCAGATTGTACAAAACTAGTTCACACCCTGTTCAAACTGCAGCACAGGTCAATGAGAGGGCAATTAATTAAAAGCAACAGTAAACTTACTCTGAGTAACACACACTTCCAGGCATGGAATAATGTAATCATGATATCCTGCTCAGGCTTCCTGGAAAATGTTAATTAGCACAGAGGTTGTTGTTACAGATTAGTAGTAGTTCCAACATCTCTGCAAGGGCTGAAATGGGCCCAAGGAAGTGRCTCACCTGCAGCAGTTCTCCGATGCTCTGCTAATGTGTAAATCTCCTGTAGCTGTTTCTTCTGATCCTCACTCAGCGGCGCAGTCAGGGAATGGTACCAGGCTGCATCCCGGCTCTGCACCGCTGCCAGAACAGCAATGAAGGAAAAGGGATCATCATCTTATATGTTATATATCTTATAAGCTAATTTCAGAGTAACAAAATGAAATACATGGAATTTCTGGCTGGTTTCAAAACAGAATCTGCACTGCAAAACATGATTGGTATTCCTGTCAGCTTTCTTCGCACAGAATYCCCACTCTAACAGAGGCAATCCATTTTGGGCAACTTAATTACAACCTCTGCTTTCTGAAACAGAAAGTTAACCATGTGGCCATTATTCATGACAATGTGAATTGAATCTTCTCATTTAAAACTCACATGAAAACTAAAAGCAAAAGGATTAGTCAAACAGGAAAGGGAGAAAATAATTTCTCCATTAACATCTAGAAGGTGACAAATATTTCTCTATATAGGAGTCCCTCTAGTGACCAAGWCCCACTTATTTAGGCTGTGATTGAAAAATTCTGAGGGAAAATGTGAAGAGAATTCATCTCTGTCTGTATTTGCTACCATTTKTTTTTTGCAGCACCAGTAAGACAAAAAACCTCAGGACTAACATTTTCTAGTTTCAGTAATCTAAACAAATACTCATAACAAAGAACAAGGTTTTTCCCAATGATAACCATAAACATCTCCAAATGATTTCACCATGTTATCTTATTCTACCAACCAGCAAAAACATACTTAGAAGTGCTTGTGTAAAAAACTGGTATTCATCAACACCATTTTCAAGGTCAAGAGGTGTGCTGAAGCCTTCAAGAGCAGTCTCTTCCAATGCATCTTCATCCCAGTCATCATCATCRTCATCTTCATCCTCCTCCTCTCCACCTCCAGCACTGCCACCTCCTCCTCCACTCTGGTTCTCTTGCATTGCCTGGCTCACTTGATTTGTCTCATCCTCATCACTCGGTATCTCTTCTGCAAAAGTATTGATATGTTTTGCAAAAGAAAGTTTAAAATCTATAAGGAAACAATGACTTACAAATTAAAAACAATTAGTAAATCTAGGTTTTTGCTGGACACCCTTTCCCCAAAATCTTTAAAGTTTTGGAACAATGAAGCTGTTGAAACATTTCCTACATTCGAGATCAGATAAACTTTTGTTTCTACGCAGATCTGAGGAATGTGAAACTGCCACCGTTTTTCTTCTTTCATTTATGCAGTCATTGTGCAATTCTAGGATCCCAAAGTTTTGAGGAAATGTCTTCCATGAAGTGGGCCATCACTCTGCTTTTTAAATTGCAAACAAAAACTTGCATAGAATTCACAAATGAACATAAAACGATGAGAAAACCATCTGTAGACCAATTGTCTGCCTGCTATTCTTCAGTGTTCCCTTATTGAACAACTTTAACCAACACATTAAGTTGGTGTTCYCTTCCATTGTGCTTATGAAAAATGGCCTCCTGAATTAGATGCAACTACAACCTGCAATTCTAAATACTGCTCCTTCTTACTTAAGGAAAAATATTTACGACTTACAATCAAGATTTTTAAAAAACAACCCTTCAATTCCAAACCTGCAGCTCTTCCTGTGTTAACAGGTCAGAAAGAATAAAGATGACTAAATATGTAGCAAGCAGGGACTGAATCACAGGACAGAGATTTGAAAATTCCTGTGCTGTTTCCATACTGTATTCCTATGTATTGAGAAAAATTCTGTGATTCCATTACAGAACAACCATGTGTGAAATTCCAGTGGATTRCATAATCTGCTTACATCCAATCTGATTTTCAGACCTCAAAACATCTATCTTCTACTCCTTATCAAACAGATTTTCCTGCAATGCAGTGCATAATTCCCTCCCCACAATTCCCTCTGTAAGGCATTCTTCAATGTTTTTTCTCTCCTGGTAGACACAGAGGTTACAGGCCTGTCTGCTCAAGGAACCTCAGGCATCTCAAGCCTCACTTTGCAAACAACTCAGCATTTGGATGAAGAAGACCTGCCAGGATATTCTTCAAAATTCAACCAAGAAGGTCTTTCAAACAGTTGGGTACTATGAACAGCTTCTTTTCAGGAAGTAAAAAYACACCCAGTGGAGTCCTGTCAAACTCCTGCTGCCTTTGTGAGAAGACAGGGCATATTTACAATCCAGMAGAGTGGACCTGCAAGTTACTGTTAAACCAATACAACCCTTTCACAAAATGTTAGATGTTACACCTTGAAACATTTTGATTACACTTTGGGAGGAAAAACCAACTCGTAAGGCGGTATTTCAAGCACCCAGTAAGACGAGTTATTTTCAGCAGACTAATGAGTCTTAAAAATGAACTGCAATTTCTTACCCCCTTTAAATTAAATCCAGACAAAATCCACAATGTGAAAAGGGGAGATTTTACCATTATCTTCTACAAAGTGTTTTTCATCTTTAGCATGATCCTCATGTTCTGTGAGCTCTCGTGAGGCGCAAACTTGTTTTAAGCCCAAGAAGAGGAGGAGGATTGAAGGAACAATCTGGGCAGCCACAGCATCCACTGCAGGGGGTCGGTTCTGCAATTCCATTAGGATGCTCAGTCCTATTATACACATCTTTCTGTCATGGAGTCTGAAAGAAGACACAATTGTTAGAACACAGATTTTCACTGCAAGGATATATAGAGAACATTAAAATCCTGGTGCTTGGACATGGCAGAAGACAATGGTTTAGAGGTAATGTTCAAAGTCTATATTCAAAACTCCTACACAAAGTTTTTTTTTTTTTTGTTCTGAATGCAAGTTTCCCACTGGAAAGTACTCATCCAATAACAACTACACATCTTTCAAGCACTGGTCAAATTCCTGGAGCAACTTTTTCTGATTACCAAAATTTGTAATGCTAAATAAATACTGCTKCATAATTATGTATAATATCTTGTCTTTAATAAAGCATTTGATACAGATTATAATTATTAAATAGGATGGAAAATTAATTTGCTGTGGCTTTGATAGCAGCACTGTTTCAGGGATGGAAAYTGGCAAAAAGACTATTAGTGAAGAGTAACGATAAGCAGGAATGCATTGAATCACAGGGTGCATTTATGGAGTGCCCCAGGGATAGCTGGAGTTRAATTATTAGAAGTCCATCAGCATGCTAACTTGAGACACATTGCTAACTTGCTTTCAYATTGCTGGTGAAAGCAGGGAAATAATTCCACCATATTGAGAATAACTGGCATGTACTCAAACAGGAAACCTGCAAACGAGTAGAACTCCAGTAAAACAAATAAACTGCAGATAACTGAAGCAAAAGAAATTAATTCAATTAGCGGCAGAAAGATTTTTATGTGACCATAGTAAGGAATCTAGGTAAGAACCTATGCTCTTAAATGTAAGATTTGATTTTCACTTCCAGAAACAGAAATTTCTGCAAACAAGATGGAAGAAAATCTCTAACTACCTCTGAAGATACTCTTTGGTTCTCCTTTACTGGAAACATCAAAAGTATTCAACTTGGAGCTAACATTACAGTATTCTGCTGTTAGAGGCCTGAGAGGAGCTAGCYTTGTTTGAACTATTCAATTGGATTCTGACAGGTTCTGTGCAAGCCTTCTGCAGGACAAGTAGCACTAGCAATACCTAGAGAAAACAAGCAAACTTCACCAGTTGGCAGAAAATGGCCATCCTCTAAACTCTTGGTCCATTACTGAATCAGTTTTACATTGGAATGAAGAGAACACAAGTTGAGAGAGAAGAAGTAAGATGGGCTGCAATAAAGCTAACAGGGGCAACCAGCTCAATCCACTACTTCAAAAATTGCTATAGAAATACAACTTTTAAGTGCTTATCACTTCATTACCAAAGATCCTATATAACATACTACTGAACTATTATATTCTTTAAGTAACACAAAATGTTCCTGTATTACATCTTTCTAAACTTCACTTGTGCTGGAGATCCTGAGGGATTTTGTGACACCTCCCACATTGCTAGGATTTACTGGAGTGATTCATTCTCAAGAGCAGCTGACAACAAAAATAAATTATATATGACCATGCAGAACATTATGATCACAGCAGATCTTACAAGAAAAACAAAGTCAACCAGCATATCAAATGACATATTTTGTCATATTTGGGTTTGGCCACTTYGTTACATGTTGAAAAATGCGCCAAAGTGCAAGGAGGCGAAAAGCGCTCCTGTAGCCACAATCCTTTCTTTTCAGATGGAATGRGGCACAAAAGAGGGCATACAAGCCAACCAGGGAGACTGAGATAGAGCAACAGGGTCTGCTGTCATGAAAAAAAACATAAATCCCTTACTCCTGAGCTGAAATGACTTACTCCTGCATGTTGAAAACAAGCCATGTGCTCTCCTGCCGATACTCTGCAGGCCAAAAGCCAAGCTAAAGACAATGCTACTTATAAATGAAGCATGGCTTTTACTTGGAGAGTTGTCCTTAGTGCAAGTACAAAAGGCAAAAACTTTCTCTACCTCCTCTTTTGCCAGCACTGTCATCCAAGTGTGACCAAAGMTCTGTAATCTGTGCACAAGATTTCTATCCTGCATCTACACTCTGGGAAGCCATGAAATTTCTTCAAGACCCAAACATACAAAAAAGTAATTTCAGTCACATGCAGCAGCATAGCTAATGACTCTGAGCACTGTTTTTATTAYACATTTGAAAAGTTACCATTGCACAATGCCAATTGCAAAATGCAACARTAAAATGTAAAAAGATTTTTGTAATTAAGGCTTAGCTTCATACTAAATTATCTTTTTGGGACAGCAAATCAAAATACAATGAAGCCCTGCTGTTTGAAAGGGAGTCATGATTGGGAAGCAGCCCAAGTGACCAAAACCCACAGTWTTTGTCACGCTCCACTTTAAAGCTGCTAAACAGAGAAGTTGCAAGAAGGAACACACGTCTTCAGAATATGCATGTTATTAGAAGGCCCTGCAGGACAGCAGAAATTCAGGCATCAGGCCATCTTTAGTGAACCTGTGCCAGAAGGAGAATTTTCTTTCACCTGCCAGCGAAGACAAACAGCAGCAAAAGCATGTGCCTTGCCTGAAGTTCAGTATTCCTTTATGTCCCAGCTGTATCAAATACCCACAGAACCAAACAAGCAAAAGAGAGTTTAATATATTTTCATAATGGCAAAGAATGGCTTCAGGACCATTCTTYTGCTATTCAAAGGCTCATTATTTCAGCACCCTTCCTTCTGCTCAAGGGAGCCTGGATATGATTCTCCTTAGTAATTTGTGCTTTGAGATCTGTACTTATTTGCTCAGAAGCACACAATAGCCCTCCCTAACAAYCAGGGACTCTGCTTATTCCTCAGTGGTTTATCAAGCCTGGAGTGTTAAACACACAACACACAGCAYTGCAATGCACGACTCCAAGCCAAGTCTATTTTTAACAAGCTGTGTGAGGTCTGCATAATCTGCAGGACCTCTTGTGGCTAACACACCTCCTTCTAATACAGCACAAAGGATTTGAAAACCTTTTGTATTTTAAACCAAGCTGAAAACATTTCRGAGAAAAATCACTAAGCCTTTTCTTTTACTCGTTTGCTGTCTCCTTTATGTAAGAATCAAATTTCTTTCTATTACATCAATCCAGTTCCTGRACAAACAGCAAATAATTAGCCATTTCCTTCTAGCTGCGAAGTTGGAACCAACATAAGACTGGGTTTTTACATACAACTCTGAGAAACCTAGGATTTTTAACTGTTTAAACTCCTATCAAATATTTAACCCTATTCAGCTTCTAAAAAACTGAGTGTTCTAAAAACAGTTACTGAGGGTTTTCTTTGAGGCAAGTTAGATTTTCCTTTCACCCTAGCTACCACAGAAGAATTTTTAGTATGACAATAAGAATAAGCCATGCAGAATTCTCACCCAAACCACAGCTGTCAGGGAAAACACAGAAAGCAGTAGAGAACAAATGTTTCTGCAAAAGGCTTTTCAGTGTGAAGTTATTGTAGAAAACTTCCAGAAACAAATGCAGTATCCTGTAACATGTGGGCACATACATAATATCCAATGGCCACAGACATGTAATATCCACCACAACATACTGAATTTATGCACAGCCTTAACAGGAGTTCTGAGTGCTCCTTGCCTAACTAATTTTTAATATACCAAATTGTTTAAAATTTTTCAATAGTTTCCACAGTTTTAACAACATGGAAGAACAGTTATTTATCTTACCATAACTGCTTTTCCCCTCCATTTTTGCTGTGGATTCCATCTCAGGTGTTCCCATGCACTGCTCAGGAAACACTGCATTCTTTTAGTAAACACCACTGGCTCCAGCCCAAGCAYGGGCAGCCATGCACAACCCTACTGCTCGCAGAGCAGGATCTATGGGGACTAAGACTTCACAGGAATAGAAAAATGACATAGAATCATGTAATGTTTTGAGTTGGAAGGAACTTTAAAGGTCATCTTGTTCCAAGCCCTCTGCCATGGGCAGGGATCTTCTCTAGACCAGGCTGCTCAAAATCCCATCCAGCCTGGCCTTGAACACTTCAAGGGATGKGGTGTYCACACAGAAGAGTGTGAGATTTATGTGGAAAAAGCATCTTGAAGAACCACTATTATCATCAAGTCCCGGATTTCCAGCATGGCTGACAAAGAAATGAGAGCAAGATTCATCTGGTCCTTCACATCTGGAGGTGGATCTAATTTCATCTTGTCCAGTTTCTCTAGGATCTGTGAGTTTTCCAAATGATTCAAATTTGGGCTGAAAAYTGCCTCTCAATGGAAAGTAATCTAAGTTAAACCAAAGTAGCAAATGACAGCTGATGAGAAAAAAGGCTGTAGAAATCAGGGTGCTCACTGCTCTTGGACAAAGACATGAACTTGGCAGTGGTGGACGAAGAAAAGGATTCAAGAATGCCAGATTTTGTTTGCATTTCTGTCTTTTCCTGTTCAGTTACACCTCTGAATATGTGGCTCCTGTTCAGATGATACCCTTAACACCCTTAAGAAAACAAATGATCTCCTAGAAGCAGTGCTATCCTGAGGGAAAGAGAGGAAGTCCCTTTCAGCACATCACAGTGCCTCAYCAGCAGTATTGTAGCAAAAGGTCTACCCTACACCTGGACGCCACATTCTGAGGAGACAGCACAGAAGGAAGAGTGACTTTTAGATTTAAGCAATAAAACAGATAATTATTTCACTGCTGSTAGCAGCAGATCAAAGAGAGATTTTTAATCTGCTGCCATCCAWGTGAAGTCTGGGCAGAATAACAGGCATGACAATTGCATGTTTAACTTTTCATTTTCAAGGGCTTTGCCAACTTTTGTCTCAGCTCCAAATACAAGTTTATTACAACAGTAGTTTCAGTAGCTGATGCTTTCTGAAAAGCAACACAGAAGAACTGAAAACTAAGCTGTAGCTCACAGTTCTACTTGAGATTGTAGCCTAGTCAGACCCTCAACATTTTTCCCCTCTGAATCTGACTAGTTTCTCATTGAATGTTCCAGGATGAACTGTTTCAGGCTATAAATCTCTTTCATATTTTATTTCTTTTAAAAATGGAATGACAAGTTTACCATCTGTAGGGAATATCTTCTTTCCTACCATCTCTGTATGCATTCAGCATATGATATGTAGCAGAAAAAAAAAATCAAAGCACAAAGAGATAAGGCTCAAGAACTTTGATTCGGCCATAGAAAGAAATTGGTTTGTGGAAATCCTAAAATGGCTCCTTTCTAAAGTTGGTAGGTATAAAAATAATGTAGCAATTAACAATAATATTACCACAAAGTATGGAAGAAGCAACTTCAGGAAGACATGGCCTAAGCCTATCTGTACACCTGCAGTCAGATGTCAGCCTCCAATAACAAAACAGAACTCAAGCAGGAAGATGAGAGGTAGTGTAGTTGTTAACTACATCCAACTGCCTGCTCTGCCCTTAAGTGGATTTGAATCTCACAGTCAAACACCACATCTCAGCTGAGAGGCAAGCACTGGACTTCACCTCTGCTCAGCATCAAGCACATGCTTTGCTAGGTGATGACAAGCTTTGTTCCCCTTCATTAACTTTACAAATGTTCACCTCCTGCCTGAGTGCACATCAGGGCAGCACWAACACATTCAGGGGAGGTCAAAGTGACATTTAAGTTCGGGAATATGGCTGCTAAGCAGTCAATGGCACGATGATAAATACACAAGTTGATTGTAAAAATCAATTTAAAGTCAGAGTGTGGGATTCACTGGATAGAGTACGTTTTTTAAAATTAAATGGAGCAGTTAAAAATAACTTACAAAAGGAAGAACAAAAAGTATGTATACAATGTTTCAGATAAAAGGTTAACATGTTGAAACCTGCTGGTCAGCTCTAAGCATTGTCAAAAAGTCAATACTTGCCCAAAAAAACAGTCTGTGTCATTCATCCACTGGTTTATGAACTGTGCAGTGATGGGCTCAGGATTGTGTGGAAATCKGATGTTCTCCAAGGTGTGCAAAAGTAGGTCAGGATTGTAGTAGAGTGCAGCTATGGCAACTTGAAGACACATGGTACGAAGCTCACTTGTTTTAACTCCTCGTGTCAAGCGCTCCAGAACAGCCTCCACAAAGAGGGGAATACACTGGGCATATAAACAAAAAAAAAAAAAAAATTAGTCATTAGACATGTTGCCACATTATATAAAATGTTACAATACTTTTATCAGAATTATGACCTTAATTATCTGAAGTGAAGGTATAGAACCTAGGAACACCTGCTATTCACTTTCTAGCCCCCGATCATATGCTTATAAATCTTGCCCAAAACAGCTCTTCCCTGAGCTAAAAATTGCAATGTTATTCTGAGCACACAGCAGAATATTTGGGGCCATTTGGTGGAATTTGTTCTAGCATGCATAAAACCTTGGAAAAAAACTCAAGGACATTGTCATCGTCAAAGAAAGATATCAAACAATTTCAAAACTAACACGCATTATGTATTAAATTACCTAAATCTGTAACATCAGTTTTTCCTAATAAATGTAAAATTATGTTAAATTTATTATGAAAGTTTGATATGAGTGTGTTTATTCAGATAAAGGCAAGTATGCACAGATTTCTAAACAATGAAATAAACATCTTCTAAACATACATATTTCAATGTGCAGATTTATACTTGACAAAACTTTGGGGAGAATAAACTAAAAGTTTTAGGTTTTGAGTTTCGGTTCAGTGTGCAACCATTTTAATTCACAGGGCTGTAGAGCTCAATTAAGCCTTCCACCACATTCTTCTTTCAATGCAAATGAATTGAATTCACTTTAAACTCTTCCAGATTTTGTTCAAAAATAAAATCYTTCAGGAAACATTTTTATCTTCAATTACTTCAGATTAACAGTAGTAACGTCATATTGGTTTCAGTCAAATTAACTGGAAATTCATCACAGAAGTCCATAGATTGCACTGTGACAACACCAAATATGGCATGTCAAGGTAATTTAGGCTAATTACATGAGCCCAGAATTTGGCCCTTAATAGGAAAAAGACTACTTTCTGTTCTAAGAAACTCTGGAAAATTGTGATTATGTTYTTCCCTGCAATCACAATCCAGTCATGGTAAAGAACCTGCATTTCCAAATGCACTAAGTAATTCGAAACATTTAAAAGCTCCTATATCTTGGAGAAACAACAGTCATTGGATATGTACAGTTAACCTCACAGCCACAATAGTTTCAACTGTGTGTTTGGCATCAAAAGGGAAATTCTACTAAGAAAAAACAAAGAACAATCCTGCACAGCATATCCTTATTATTTAGTCTATATGCATTTTGTGGTCATGCCCTTCAATATCGTGTCTCAAAAACAAAACCATCCAACCTTACAAACTCTCTTGAGCTCATTTAYTTCTGTCTTTCTCCCCACTTTGCATTTCCCTCAAATACTCTAATTCCAACTGTTTCTCTCAGGAATCAAGAATCATTAGAAAGCAATAAAAGAGAAAACCTGTCCAAKATATCTCACCTGGTCAATACCCCGTCCTTTGCACTGAAGAACAATCACTTCTAGGAGTTTGGCTGCATGGCACTCTGCATCTTCTCCTGCATCTCCTGTCAGTACCTAACAACCAGAATTTAATTCATCAGTAGTCACCAACRACACTGAAAGCAAGTGCTCCTGTATCTGCCTATATCCAAAAAACTCTATATAGCACACACATTATCTATTCATGCCAAATTTTGTGAGGAATTAAGACACAGAATTAAGAGGAATTAGTCTATCTCTACAGGACATAAATAAGGATAAGTGGCTAGAGGTGAATTTTAAAATTCTGTAGTTCTTAAAGAAAGTTATATTCTTTTTATGTCCTCGCTTTCCCTTCTTTAGAAAGAAATATCACTTATAAGAATCACTGATGTTTTCCACRTTCTGTTTCCATTTTTTCACCTTAATTGTAATAGTAACTAGCAGATRAAGAGCCTGGCAAAGTGAAGTGCTATGTCTAAGATAGTTTCTGATTAAGACTTTTTAAATCATTCTGTGTGTAGGCACACACACATGAAACMGAGTGGCTCGTCTCAGTACATTCCAACCCCATGGTTACTGTCAATCAAACCTGACAAAGAAGCAAAATGCTCACATTCAAATATATTAAGTTTCTTAAAAATAAGCAGGTAGCTAGATGCCTAACACTCTAAAGACCCAAATCTGAGGAGGACTGCAGCATGATCTCATATTTTATTATACATGAGAGACTCAGMATAAAAGAGAAACAAGATAAATGTAGGAAGAACTTCAAATGAGTTTGCACCTTAGCTGACAACCAGAGAGTCCAGCTCCAAGGTACACAACCCAAGGAAATCAGGCTTCATTAATTCCTCTACCTACCAAAATAGCTCTCCATAGAAGAGCGTCAAGACGAACAGCACCTTTCTCCCACACAGATTTTTGCATGTAATTTTTTTAAAGCATGTCACTTAAAAAGTGTGAAGCTGCTGCGTGTGCTCAAAACTGAGTTGAGACCAAACTTCACTTAGTTCTGAAATGCCTGGCCACCACCTGGCATGTTCAGGTCATTCTGTTCTTCTGATTGTTATGTATCAGTGATAACCACAACAGTAAGAATCAGAAGCCTTACCTTTTTACACATAGAGTAAATGATTTCTAAATGCTTTGGGTTAGACAGTAAAGTATCGGTGTCAATGGTCACATAATTATGCAAGAGAGGCATCATATCTGCAGAACAGGGAGTACAAAAGAGAAAACATTTATAAAAAGTGCTAACCAGAGAGGATGCAGTCCTAGAGGRGAATTTAATAGCTTAGATTCTTGAATATGGTAGGAAATTCAAACCCTGCAAAAGGCTTTTCTGAAAGAATTCTTCATAAAATGGACTACAGAACTAGAATTAATTTGCAGTTTCACATTACCTTCAAATATTTCAGCTTTCTTTGAGTTCAGGACCCCTACAACAAGTGATCACACTGACAGATTTGAACATGCTTCTCCTACTTAAGTATGCTCCTGCTRCACTCCCACACTAAACAGACGGTCAGGGCATGACTCAAATACATGATCATATCAAACCAAGACACTAAATGGAGGCAACCCTTATTAAGAATGTGGAGTTTAGAGATGAATTCTCAAACAGTGAAAACATCAATAGAACAGAAGTGATCGTACCTGCAAAATATTCAAAGCAATCCTGCTGGAAAACCTCGTACAGAACACCTAAAAGCTGCCACATCTGAGGTGAAATCATCTGGCATGTTAAGCTGAAGGCCAAGGATAAAATTTCTTCATAAAACTCTGTAAAAGACAAACAATTTGAAGCATGGTGCTTTACAAAATAAATTTAACTTGCAAATACCTTGAAATCTGAAACCAAGTGCTGAGTCATATARCAACTAGAAGACAGCAACTAGAAATTAAATCACACATAGCAAAAACCCCAAATTTTAAAAGGCTCTTTCAGACAGGTCTTATGCTGGCTGTAGTTACAATAATATGCATGGTTTTCCACTATAAATACACACCAAAAAAATGTATCAGCAGCACATTAAAGACAATGCTTCTAGCCAATTTAGTGAAAAATACATTATTTTCMTAGCCTTTGTTTTTTTCTGAAAGGCCTTATCACAAGACTTTAACTTTTGGTGCAGGGTACTGATAYAGCAGTAATTTAATTGCAGAACATGTCTGTAAGAGACTAATGTAATTGTAGATATTGTCCTTTAGCACAATTAGCCAGAATTATAATCAGAACAGCATCTTCTGCTTTTGACCTCCAAAACACAATAGCTAATCTGACTAATGTACAAGGGTAGATGAGGAGAAACATATCACAATGGAAAAGTAATGACTTTTTTTCTTTAAAGGAACACACACAGAAATCGATTAAATTCTGTTCTGGAAGATAACAATAATTAATTTACATGTTTTTGCATCAAAAATTACTCTTTTTTTCTAAAAATTATYTCTAAAGCATACCTATAACATGTTTCTGCAAAACAAGGCCAATGATCTGTAAACAAATGCTCTCAAGCTGTTGAGTGATCTGAAATAAAATCATTAAACAGTTTATTAAAAAAAATCAGAAACACAGAAACCAAATAAATCTATTTCACTAATTCAGTTTGAGAAGTTTTTCAAAAGAAAAAGGCGTTTTTTTCCATTTTTTAAATGCTCCATTAACAATCACAATATTATGAAATAAGGTCTCCCTGATGCAAAAAGAAATCTCTTTACCCTAAATATGTGATATGCAGACATACACTGCACCACAACTGGGAGACCAGTTCCTAGGAATTCTACCCAAGAAATTGCTGRGAAAATTACAGATATGGATCATCACTGTAAAAAATGAGCCTTATGCAAAATATTTCTTCTTAAATTCTACTTTAAAACTCAGTCATACAACTAGCCACTGTGATGAGAATTAACTCTACCCCAGCCAAAACCAGCACATTCCAATGAAGTGTTAACCCAAAGAAAGGCTAAGAATTTTACCCTGGGACAAATTCTCTTGAAATTGAAAGCTAAATGATTAATAAATCACAAAAGTAAACTGGGCTTTCAATTCAAATCTGTCAGAGATGGCTTGGAACCATCCGGGTGTAGCAAATATATGCTCATGCAAGTGATGCAACATACACAGAAGTGCTTGCTGTCAYGAATGAAAGGATAAAATTACGAAGGAAAACCTCACCTCCTTGTGATCTTCCACAACTGTCAGGATCGTGTCAATTGTGTGCAAGATGCCCATGGCCATAACCGTTTTGTCCTCTACTTCCTCATATTCCTCACTCTGAAGTACTTTACCAAATATTTCAGCCTGTGAACAAAACCAATTAATTTGACATTCAAGAGCAAACCAATGTTTCTAATTTGTCATTCAAAACCAAGGTAGTTAATGCAACAGCAGCAATGCCTTATCTGTAAGAGCTGTCAGCACTGAAAAATATGCTTGCTACTCTTAAAAGGGGAACATAGAGTATTAAATCTCCTCCTTTTTTGAGAAGTCTGAACATGTTAAGTCATTTGAAATGCTAAATAGTTAGAGCTTGGCTCATACAACCAGTGACAAAAATCAGTATCTTTGAAAAATCTATCGATTTTAAAGATGGTTCATACAGAAAAAAACCCTAAATACTGTGAATACTATAGTGGGCCCTTATAAAGGTTTCTTTAAACCATATGCACTTCAAASAGAGCTCATTAAATGTTTATCAAGCTAGGCATGTGCTTCTGACTGTACTGTTATTTTATTATTTCWCTTACCAGGTGCTGAGTCATGTCCACAGCGATAGTAGCGACTTCCTGGCTGTATTCATAGATCATTTTCTGGATTACATTGGTAAGATCATCATTTTCTGTCTCTCTGACAATGTGCAGGAGCTCCTGCATCACTGGCCTTACATAAGGCTTCACATATTCCTTGGCTAAAAAATTGATAGAAACCAGGTGAAATGAACTATGCATAAACACAAATATACAGGATCTCCATACTGCCAGACAGCTGACTACTCTTGAACAAAATAATTTTTTTAAAATTTGAATTWGCTGAAGAAATAAAAAAGCCAAAAAACATAGCCAAGGCAATTTTACAGTCCGTAATTAGAAGACAGAGTGTATAAATTGTGTAATATTGAAATGCCATCTACTGCTAAAATCCAGTTTTGAGGGAATTCTTGCTTTCATATATAAGCAGCAGTCATTCTGGAACATACACACTATTTAACTTCACTAAAGAAAAACCAAGGCAGGTGGTATTTACTTTATTAAAGCAAACATGCTGATTCTAACTTCTTTTGTGCCATGAAAACTTGTAGGCAGAAYTCTGGGATGTATACAGTGACTAATGAGCAAGTGAAGCTGCTTAAACATGATGAAATATTCTGAAATCTGTTTCTTTAAAAGGCAGAAATGTTTAGACAAATCTGCACCAACCTCCTTGTCTCTACAAAAAAATCAATAGATCAGTGTAACCAGCTGATGAATCAGTGTCACATACCTTGCTCTTGGTTGCTTATTAAGGTCTGAAGGGCTATGGCTGCTTCTACTTTGACAGGCATTTCCTTATCATCAATCAAGCTCTTCTTTGTCAGCTCTACTGCATTCCTCAAGTTTAGCTCATTGTGAAATTTCAAAGCACTGAATGAATGMAGTACCCAACAGGACTGCAAAGCAAAAAGAGAAGCAAGTTAGGGACTAGAGCAATTTTAAGCATTTTTAACTGATTCAAAACCAATGCCAACTATCTCCCTGTTTGGATGCATTGCTTCCCCCCCAACTTAATTAGGGTGTATTCATACATTAAATGTAAAACAGGTTTTGCACTCAAGCAGTTCTTTATTATCCTTTCCCAAATTCCAATAAATTCAGTATGCACATAATTGGCATTCACAGCTTTGGTCCTTCTGGGGGAAATAAAATCAGAAAAAAAAGACAAAAACTGTTTGTCTATGACTGATATTGGTACTTGGGGATTTTCTTCAAGSAGCACTCAAACTGACATTACCCACTTGCGAAAATTCTGCCTATTCTTCACAGCCATACAACTACTCTAGTTATTGAGATCTGCTACTGAAAAATGGCCACAATCACTGCTCAGATTCTCAGGTTTGATTGAAAAGGTAAACAATAATACAAGATAGACCTTCCATCAGTTCTTTTCACTGAAAAAGCATTTTTTAAATCAAAACAGTAAAAAAAGAAGAGTGTCATTTTAGATTTTACTATGTATTTACTTTATTTTCTTCATTAACATTCAGAATGAAATCAAAATGCAAAGGAAGGAACCATGGCAAATACAGGAATTGATGTAACAGGTGAACTTACTCGAGCTCTGAGGTACCCCAGGTTTGACATGAACAAGGGAAACACATGATTCTGTAACATCAGCTCCATTTGATCCTTGAAGACACTCTTCTGTTGGAGTAAGGAAAAATTCATTTTAGAGACCATTCATTTTTCATAATTTTTTCTAGTCCTTCAAATACCAACCATTGGAAATATAATTATTTGTCTATACAATAAAGGTGTCTTCTCAGAAAGAGAACTGGATCCCTTACCTTGAAAAGAACAAACTCAAAAGCAAAGCAAGTTCAAAGCCAGGTAAGTCAAAGAACTGTACATATAATATTCAACTCTACATTATTCATTATACTATTGTAAACTGGAATTTTCATTTTATTTAAGACAATTGATTCTAGCTGATTTTTCTTAAAMACTAACTAGGATAATAACCTAGTACTTCCATTCTTCCTCCAAAGGAGTACATACGTACCTGAAGATAAATATGAACTTGGTACGAAACAGACCTGAGTTTCAAATGATCTACTGTTAGTCTAAATATCAAAACTAACTATTTTGGACACTACAGCAACGAATCCCATCTTTTTTCATGTTTATTAATGGATGATGATAATTCCTTTGTAACAGAGATCTCCTTAGCTGGCGGATATAGGATGAGACTTATTCTTTGTTATTCCAACCTTAGCAAATCCCAAGATGCTCACAAGGAAGCTTGAACCAGCACAGAGATTTGAGAAATTCATTATAGCCCCAGAATACTAGAAAAGATACACACTGGGGATGGTGTTACCATCTAAAGGAATGATTCAGTGCCAAAGAGAGGAAGAAGGTGAAATGGGACATTTAATATAATGAGTATCTTAGGTGATCACACCTTATTTCACCAATGCCTTTTTTCCACACTGATTCCAAAGCCTTCACAGAGGTGGATGAAGAACTGGACAGAGAAAAACCAGAGAGAAAGGAAAAGAGAAAGGAAAAGAGAAAGGAAAAGAGAAAGGAAAAGAGAAAGGAAAAGAATGCTCCTTTGTGCACACAGGACAGAAGTTTGCAGGCATTGGACTGGAGTTGCTGTGGGGAACCAGGTGGCCACGGCAGGGGCATTGTGTCTATGAGCTCCTTAGACTCTGTATCTCAGCCAGCTCAAGAGTCAGAAAACACTTGAAACTACAGAAACTACAGAAAATCCAGTATTTTATACAGAAACAGCTGATGGAATATTTCAATGTGTTAAACTCCAGACACAAAAAATAAGATTTTAAGGGAGTCTGCAGTATTTGGGGTTATTACTCTTTCATAATGTATATTATAACCTCATGTTTCAGGACTGAAAATTTCAAATAGAAGCAGAATAATGGAATAAATCCTTTTTTTTTCCCCTCAGGACACAGAAAATATGTTAATATGAAAGTCTCCTCACAACACAAACAATGTCATCCTCTTTCAATGTTATACTCCAGCATGAGCAAGGACATTTAAAATCCAAAATAACCTACAAAAATTCTGCAAAAGCTACTCATGTTTCAGTATTTAAGATCAGATAATAGATTGGTACATTGGTAAAAAAGCAGATGGTAAATACTGGTAAGATGCTGCTTGTCACATGAAGACACATCCTGCACAGAGAGACAATTCAGATAAAAGGTAATAAATTACTTTTAAAAAGAAGCCTCCAGAACAAGGTCACCATTCTCATGCTAAAAGTGATAATGTTTTAATGTTTTAGCAATTACTTTGGACATGGAGCAAGGGCATACTATGGACTCCATCATCTACAAAAGCACCAGGCAAACTGCAATCATTATTAATTAGAGAGCAACAGCAGGGATGAAATTTGTTTTCAAATTCCAGAAAAACACCCAAAATTCTAAGATGGTGTTTATAAAAAAAAAAAATGGAGGAAGGCTCTTTGTTCTTTCCTGTTTTTTCAAAACTCCCAACTGGCAGATGAAGTAAGATTTAAAGCCACACATTGCAGAGTAAAAAAGTTGGAAAGCTAGACACAACATTCCTGCAACATGTTAAGTAAACCTTTTCCTGGAACCAGAAGAAGCCCATAATAGTGCAGGCTGTTGGGGAATTTAATAAAGAATCATGGGCAATGTTGCTGATGGAATGCATGTTTGCTTTCTTAACACTTCCATTTTACTAGTAAAGGGGGAGAGGACAAGTGACTGCTCCATAACAAACAAACAGAGCTTTGGAAAAGTGTGAGAAGAAAAAGCTGTGCATAAAATTGTGATATAAAAACTAGGAAAGTATGTTAACATTTTTAAATAAAGAGACGCTCATATTCTGATTGCACAGTGCAATCTCTCTACAGACTTAATAAATATGGCTAAGGGCTAGTCATACTTTACAAAGTAAGACTATTTTATTTTAAATCACAGTTGACAGTAAGAATTGTAAAACCTTTTTCATTTCTTTACACACTTACCTTCAGCAAAATATCCGCTAAGGATCCTATAACATGCAAAGCTCCATCTTTTTTCCTTGGATCAATGTTTGGCTCTGTCAGAATCTGATAGCAATATGCCATCATTTTTGGTAACACCTATGTAGGACAGAAAACACACAATCTCCTTTTGTGAAATTATTTTAATAGTAATGTTTAAAAAAAATCATATGACATTTTAAAGAAGAAATTTTATCCTGGCCAAAGCAACTGTGAGATACTAAGTGTAGCACCTTTCCATACTTAAAATGCAGAACCCACGAATTTTCAACTTTTCAGGTAAACTGGACAGAATTAGACTAATCTCCTCGAAATTTCACATTATTAATAGCAAGTAAGGTATTTTTGTTACTGTCTTAAGGCAAATCAAAAAATCTGATGAAAAGGCAAGAGGCTCAAAAAGCACCCCACCCATTTTTTCTCCTTAACTTCTTTTCTGGCTTGTCTCACATATATATAAATACATATGTGTGCATACATATATGTTTATAAATATATATATGTATATATTTTGAAGGAGAGCTTCGRCTAAAACCTCATAAAGTTAATTTGATCTATTGATTTTGGGAGTAAAGTTAAGTAGACTTGAGACAAGTTTTTTGGCAAAACCAACTGTTGAATGTRATTTCCACACCCATTATGTCCTTTTCCAACATGACATTTTGATGGTCTAAATACAAATTATGAAAATGAGAAGGAAGGGCAGTGGACAAGAACTCTTTTGACAATAAAGAAATAGAAGGGTCATATTCCATCTATTCCATCTATTGTAAAGATTGTGTTCCCCTCTGAAAATCCACCTGGAAACAGAGCTCCATGACTAGTGGATGCTAAAATGGAACCTACAAAACCATTTGCTATTCTAGCAAACTGCTTTCCAGGGTSTGCCTGGGTATTTTTGCACAGATCACTGTAAACACAGAAAGATCTACAGGAAAGTTACATCCTCATTTAAAGAGTAACTGTATGAAATTGATTTTGTCCTTGCTAATTTCATTGCTGCTAAGGATTGCAAATTGCATCAGTGAAAATTAAGAAGGATCAGATCCACTCTCCCTCCTGCTACAGTCTGTGATGCTGAGAACAGCTGTGACAGAAGCTGTTTGTAAACTTGGGAAAATCTATTCCAATATATCTATTCCAACCCAGTTTGTATCTGGCAGATGAATTTTAAATCTGCAAGAAGAATCCACTTAGCATTTAGACACACCATATTTTAACTCTCCCAAAATTGATAGTTTTCAGCCAGGAAACATTTGACTGTGTAGCAGCAAGCAGATTTTTCAAGACTAGCTTCCTGTRGCATCTTCAAATTTAAGGGAAAAATAACATTACCAAGGAAAATTCAAATAATTAAAAGCCACTGGTTTCATACCTCTTTTCTCTTCTTTGCAGCAGTATAAAGGAGATTCTGTGCTGCTGTTGTTGTGGATGCATAATCCTCAAATACATCTAAAATTTGGGGAGCAAAACACATAATTAATCATTTTCTTTCCTAAATATTAGATCTTTTATAAACCATCTTGGTTTTGGGATATCACAAAACCTGGGTGAATACATAACCTCAAAACTATTGACACAGTRGTCTTCACTTCATGGTTAAAGAGTCAGACTAAGGCTTATATTATAAAAGCAATTATTTATTGCCTTCCAAGAATATATTGTTTATTCATTAGCTGTTTTGAGACCATATATAAGGGATGAAAAATCTTGTCTCTTTTTTAAATTAAACYCCCTATAGGAAGAACAACAATACATACCAGTACCATCTGTATACCATGTGTACACATTTTGTACTTGATTTTATTAAAACCTCATGGGAAACATTTTGTACATAGAAACTGCTTAGATCTGGGGCAGTTTTATATATGCTGAAAGGTCAAGTTTTTTAGTACCATTCACTGCAAGTGAACATTCTCTATTCATATTKAAAGTATAATTCATATCGGGTGAAAAAAAAAAATGTGCAGCGAACATGTTCTAATCCAAACATCCCTACACAAAATGAGTTAAACTAAAGATCATAAAATGTTACCTTAAAATATGACTAAAATTACACACCAACTTCTCCTGAAAACTTTAAGATAAAACTTYATTTAGAATTACTACCAGATGCTAGAATTCTTGTTTCAAATCCAAAAGTGCCTCAGTAAACTTCCATTTCATGTACTTTGATACTTGGGTGCTTTTTTACTTTTCATGATACAATGTGAATCTGCATTTAACTGCCTCAGCTACATATAAAAATAAGATTCACTACTTACACAGAAAGAACTGAATTCAAACATCAAAAATCAAGGATGTTTTATACCCCAGTGATCAACACTATACTGTAATTAATCTGTTGCATAACAACTCTCCAAGCTTTTTTAATTATTCTATGAATATTTAAATTATGTATTCACATATGCAAATCCCAAATCAACTAATTAAATTTTCCCAAATGCTGCCTATATATCTCTGTGGTGCCTGGCTCGCAGGAGTTTTCCAGCTATAATTGCTGTACTTTTAAAGTACCCTTCTCCTTTTCAATGACATGACTCTTTTAATAAATGTAATTATTCACAATACAGCCCTATGTGTTATTCCCAAGATTTTGCACTGTGTCTTTTGAAAGAATATATATATATTTATCTAATTATCCTGCAATTTAGTAGCAATAAGTAGCAGAAAAATGCTGAAGGCATTGACAATTTTCTGTAAGGAAAGAGTAAGTCAGGCCTCTTCTGGTCAAAGTGAGAGCTGCAGGAACCTGCAGGCAGCTGGCACATCTGCAAGTCAGGATTCTGAAACTGGCATTATCAAGAGAGCATACCAGTCTATCTGGGCTGTTCTGGGCACATGTGAAGCAGAAAAAAGAAAGCTTTGAGAGAATCATTTAGTTCAAAGCTACCAGCCAAATGGCTCAAATCCCTTGATCTGCTATTAACTACAGGTTGGTGGGATCTAAAACAAATCTTCTTCTTCCTATTGTTCAAATCATTGGTGATGAAGACAGAGACATTACAGGGGCCRTGTTGATCACTGGAACTACAGTGCAGAGTTATGATGAAAGCAAAACAATGCCAAATTACCAAATTTCATGCGGATGTATTCATATGGATCCTCCTGCCAGAGCTCCTCATCCTCATCTTTGTAGCACATCAGAGAGAATATCACCTCTTCTGTTATACTCTAATTTTAGAAAAGCCAAATACATGTAAGTACACATAAAATCAAATTCCAGTACACCTTCCCTCCCCCATGCACTAGTTTACCAGACATATTTTTCTGAAGGGTTAAATTCCTTTAAGCAGCACTCTTTTACTTTGTCTAACAGAAATGAATTCACAGTATTATAAGGACTTTCCTTTTGAATCAGTCCCAGACAGCAGCAGCAATTATACAATCTACCTTTATAGTAATACATTACCATTACCGTGTACAAAATATACTTCAGGACAGTCTGTAAACAGCAGAATATTGCATTCTGCAGAAGGATCTGACCAATGCAATRCTTAACATGAGAATGAATATCAGAGTCCTTCCTCTCAAAAGTCGTGGAATTAACTAAAAAGGGAATCTTATGGTATGAAAGAAACAAGAGAGCATGAAAAACACTCTTCATTTGTTCTTAGTTCACTTATAAAATATGTCCTTAAAAGAGGGTTTAGTTCCTTTTAGGTGAATGTTCTCTTTGTGCATTATCTTTGCACTACAATCAAAAATCTATATACCATTCTGAACACCAGCAGCTAATAAAAGCCAGAACATTATGACTGTCTAGCAGACTGTAAAAATTAAAATAAGAAACTTATGGAACAGAATCTTYGRTGAGTTAACAGTATCTGCAATAAAAGTTAGTCATATACTGCAAAGCACAACCACATTTGTGTAGAAATTTTATTTTATTTTCCATATCAACTSCTGAATGARTCACAAAACCTTCTTTAAAACCACRGAACTTGRGGGTGGTGGGTGTGTGTGGGGAGGGGGTGTTTTTAAAYTCCTCTGATGACATGCATTGTTTATGACTGGGTTTTATGCACTGACCTGTATGTGTGGCTTCATTTGCTTCCATGTRATAGAATGAATCACCCCTTGGTTCAGATAATTCAACGTTTGCTGAAGAACACGTGGTGCAACATAGTCTTTTTGCCTGTACTGGTCTAAGATTCTTAAGAGAACCTAAAGAAACRACAAATTGATATTTTTAAATGAAGACTGAAAATTCCATCTCATGCATAAACATGCAGTGCACTTCCTCAGTGAATATACACGAACAGATGAATTAGTTTTACAGCAGATGTTCTAGCATTAGAAATCACTATAATGCCTTTGATCCAAATATCATAAAAAATTTTAATATCAAGGTTCTAATCCTGCACACATTATTGCAGATGTCCACCTTTACTACTGGCCCTGCATGTGATCACTTGTGACTATAAACCAAAGATGTACTTCAATAGTCACAGGCTCACCGTTTACAGAGGCCTCATCAAAATTTGGAATAGGAAAGGAAAAGGCATAGTGAGATTTGCAAACTGGTGGCTTCTATACCTGCTAAGTAGTGTCTGCGTTCATATTTAAGGAAAGGTCCCTAAAGAAGACAAATTACTTGGAAGAATAGTGATGAGAACAGAAATACTAAACCAGGAAAGAAAAAACAGGTTCACCTAAACCTCTGAATCAGAAGAGAAGCAAACCCCTTAACTTCAATTATCTATTGTAGCCATCAGATAGCATCACCCACCATGCTACTACAAACTCTATCACATAAAGCTCCATGGTATAAAGGTTTGCTCTTCTAAGAAAAACACACAATACAAAGCCACAAATCTGCACTAATGGACTAATGGCAGAGGAATTATTAGTAAGTGTAATGAAGTGGCATATGCATGAATAACAATAAAAACCAAGGGCAATGCATAACAAAATTTTGAGTCMTATGCTTTCAGCAGAATAATTCTGCTTCATAATTCTTCAGAACATTATAMTAAATTTTATTTTTAATATAGCTCCTTCATTAGGAATATTAAGTCTGATGTTAAGTCTTTTATATGACATGCTCCTGGGACAAGAATTGTCTGTATCTTATAYAGACTCTAGCACAATGTCAGCACTCACCAACTGATGAATAAGTAACAAAGGCTTAGTAATGTAATATTCACATTRCAATTCTTACTAACTCTGCAAGGAATCATAACAAATCACTATTTAAGAGCCAGAAGTTGAAGAAATGTGCAGAACATGCAGTACATTTATCYTGAAAGCTAACTGTCCCCTCTGCAAGAGTTTAATACCTTAACAGACCAACTTTGAGTATTTCAAATTCTAACTGCCAATGGGCCTATTTGTCCACTCTGGAGTCACACATTGCAAGGACTTTAGAATAAATATTAGACTGTTTCCCTTTTCATTTAATTTATAGCCTTACCACCATTCCTCTCCTTAGCTCTTCCTGATGGATAAACTATTCTGTGGTCAAACTGGATGGAGAAAAGTAATTTGTTTAGCAACTTTATCAGAACTGAACTGTCTCCACATACCATGTCAAACACAAATAAATTAGCATCCCCTAACAAAAATAATTTCCTTGCAAACTGAATTTATGCTATATTTTCCACATAATATGTTTTCCAGGTATAAAACAACGTTCATTGCTGTTCTCCAGACATCTTCTAATTTGCTTGTATCTTCCTGAAATAAAACAGTATCATTGGATTACCATGCCTAAATTGCTTGCAGCAAAAGCATTTGGTAAAGACAGGGCTAAAAAGACACCCTTCTGGGAAATGAGGCTTCTGCATCCAAAGTGTTCCCCTCAGTAGTACCAAGAGTGCTTATACACATGGATAATACCATTTCATCAGCATTCACGTTTTCTGAGGATTTTCCTGCAGGGTTTTTTGAATTGCTGAAAATCTGTGCTATTATACCTCAGTTGTATGGCACTGAGTTCTCAAGAACTTCTCAATCACTACAAGGAAAACCTGCCAGACTCTCTTCATTTTTGTTCAATGAGTGAACTTGGATACAAGCACACTGTTAAAAATTAATACATTTCTTCAGCCAAAATATTGCAATTCATAAAAARCGATCTGTGCTTACCTGCTGTATGCCCACAGCATATGTTTTTAAAAAGAAGTCTGAGAATTCAAAGTATTCTTTAGTCACATTTCCAGGACTTCCATAGCTTTAAAAAGAAAAGGACACAGATATTCACACTGTGAGAAGTCTACAGTGTCAGGAAAACACAGCACTTCCTAAACTATAAAGGATCCTGAGTATTCTTGCACCAGCAAAGGAAACTTTTACCACAGGTTCCTTCTAAGCCATCCTTTCCCATATAACACCTCACTTCCATTTTCTTTTCTTAAATTATCCCAAGGTATGATATTATAGTCAAGTAAACACTTGCTGATTTTTTGTCACAATCTTTGTAACTTCCATGTTTATAGATTTCTTTTTGAATCTTCCCCTGCCTTTATATTTAAGAATATAAACACTTGTAGCTGGATGCAGCAAAATAAACATATAATTAGATAGATTTCCTCTGGGGCAAGTTTCTTGCTATCTTAACAGAGTCAAATCATTTCACTAAGAGCTGAGACCAGTGTTATGCCAGTGCAAGGCAGGGGACAGCAGGAGGAAAAAGTCTTTAGTGACCATGAGCTGTTTAATTGATCAAACTGTCTTCTCCACTCGCATGTCAAGTAATGGCACAGGACTTGAAACCCAAGTTTAGGTTTTGATCAGTGTGTTACCGTTCAAAGAGACGAGCGACAATATGCAATGCCCACTTCTTGCATTTCCACCACACCAGCTCTGGTCTATCATCTTCATCAATCTGCAAAGTCTCCTACAAACAAATACATTTATTTTAAGTTAGTTCAGTCATTTRTTGAGAGAAATTATGCTTTAAACATTCCTTGCTGAGTAAACTAACATAAACACACAGCATGGACTAAAGCTTTGGTGCTGTTAACAGTTACATAACACTCAGGAGCTTACATACATTATACCAGCTAATTAAGGTGATTGGAATGTACAATACCTGCACAATGCCTGTACTTTAATTTTCAAAACTATGCRTATTTATACAAATTCTCAGATGTATTTGAATACCACATCACTCTAGCTCAAAAGGAAATCTTATCCAMCGATAAGAATCCTAAACAAAAATCTTAAAGAACATTCAGAAAATCTTTACACTCACTGTTTCTCAAACACACAAATATCAGAGGTCTTGACAAAGCTAAAACTCACCAGCGGTACATTTCTATCAATGATGGTCCGGAAGATCTCCATCCACTGAGTCATAGTCTGGTTATTCACCAACTGGAGGGGCAATGCATACTGCAATAAGGGAAAAAACACAGGTAGGAAATACTATTTTTCTCTGTAAAAGGCAGATCTTTCTGCAGTAGTTACATTCTAAGAAAGATGAGGTTTTAAGTAAAATTAAAACTAATTTGGTTACATATCAATACTACTCTAATTGCATCCCTCTTGGTACAATTTAGAGAGGAATTCGAGGGAAACACAATCTGAGCAAAGTACTTTGCTCTAAAAACTTGCCAATTCTGTTTTTCTTATTCACAACAGCTCAGGCACCCTTTTAGGACCACTGCAGTATCTGTATTACATGGTTTGGGCAAATCATCAGCATTTTAGTAAGCAAAATGTACTTCTTAGTACTATCTAGTTACTACCCAGTAAATCTTACTTCTTCACAAAATCCAAAGCMAAGTGACAATATTCAGGCAAGTTACTGACAAGAAAAATAGGATCTTGGCATCTTCTAAATCCTYCACCCATTTAATAAATTATTTTAGCTTTTTAATCCCTGGTAAGAAKTTTCAGGGATTCTGAAAGGATCTGGTTTTGTTTCTGATCCTCTATAAGTACTGCCTCACSAAACCCATCCCTGTAAAAGCCAAACTCATCTGCTAAAGTGCATGTGCTTCAATAAATAATATCTGCCAGATCTTCAGACGAKAATGAGAAATGCCACCTACTGAAGTGCAGTATCTGACAATTACACTAAAATATCCATTACTGACACTTTCAGAGGCCAAACACACAATCTAGATCTCCATGCAGTTCATACCAGGCTTTGTGCAACTTTATAAATATAGGAACACTTCTCTAGTGAGCTTACAGATGGAATGTGCAGAAGCACCTAAATTCATTAAAAATTTAATCTGGGAGATCATGTGACTAACTTCCAAGTAGAAAAATCTATAAATATCCTATTTCTGTAACAGCTCTTTAYTGTACATGACTTTTCCCATCCCAATGGGTATTCCTATTTAATCACACCCCTGAGTGTACTGAAAAGGGTCTTTGTGCCCAGCAAAGTAAAAGTTTGGTTTCCTTCTACACAGATGCCAACCTGAACAAGAGCATAGAAGATTTTTAAGATTTGTTTCTGCAGCAGTACAGAGTAATGGGAGTTATCAGGCAGRAGCTGGATCATCTGCTGCTGAATCCGAGGCAAAAATATTTGCATGGCTGCTATGAGAGGATCTCGCTCCTCTGCCTTTTTGTATCTGCAAAGGAAACAAAAATGTTGGTCCAGGATCTACACACTGGARATTTTAATRCCTATTTGCATTCCCCACCAACAATTTGATTTTAATGCCTATTTGCATTYCCCACCAACAATTTAATTTCTGCACCCTAAAAAAACAACRAAAAAARRAWWWTCMRRAWT